ACTTTCTACTCTATGAGGCAGGAACCATATCTTGTTTTCCACTATGTCACTCTTCTCTGGCCCTATATCTGGCACAAGGAAGGCCCTCCTTTTTATTCTAGTTGCATATGACAGCCTTGCCAAAGAGCAAGGGTAATCACCCCTATAGTTTATATTTAACCAAAAGAGGTTTATTGTAGGAGAAAAGAAAAGAAATAATGAATATTCTTGTCATGAAAGTGTGGCTATTTGCAAAATTTGACTGTAAATATTTCCTATGAAAATAATCTCTAAGTGTATTTTAGCCAGCTGAGGGCTCTAGCAAATTATTTTTCACAAACTGGTAAGTGTACATTTGCATGCACTTTCACTGTGCTTATTAGTTTTTGAGGAGATTGATGCTTTAGAACAGGGGTCCTCAAACTGCAGCCCACAGGCCACATGCTGCCTGCTGAAGACATTTATCTGGTTTGCCGGGTGTTTTTTGCGGCAGCTGCCTGTCCTGCTTAGCAGCCGACTCATCCCCAGCCCACAGTGCACATGTATGGAATGTGCACTGAACACTCCAATGGCCCTCCAACAGTCTGAGGGACAGTGAACTGGTCCCTTGTTTAAAAAGTTTGAGGACCCCTGCTTTAGAAAGTTTAAAAGTAAGGTTTTTTTTTAAAAGCACCTCATGAGGGAACTTTCAAAATGCAAATTATTTGACAGTGGGAGGTATGCTACCAACTAGCGGTAGCAGTGATAACTGCTGTTCCATTTTCTCCCCAGGTTTGATGACTGACATTTCTTCTGGGGTTTGAATCCTGACTTGACTGTAGTCAAGGTTTTATAGACCTCTGAGCCTCTATCAAATATGAATGTGGCAAGGGATTTACTCAGAAGGAAACAATTAAGTCTTGAGAGAGGGGACAGGGAAGATTGGGGCTTATGGACTGGGTCACTTTCCATGGGCCCATGGACAGCTTGGCAGAGAGGCAGAAAAAAGTAATGGAAGAAGTGCAGACAGGGACAGTAAGAACAGTAATGGTAGAACATGACAGAAATGAGACTTAACAATATAGTGGCAGGAGTTTGAACAAGGAAAGATAAAATGTGGCTTTTCAAAGGTTTGTAATTCAGCCTGTGGCAGTGAGTTGAATGTGCATAAAATGTGATTTTTTATATAGTGCAATGGAGGCATTGGATTACGTCAAAAAGAAAATCTGTTTGTTATAGTCATCTCTGACTTTCCAGGTAAGTAAGTGTGGACTCAGAATATTAGAAAAACATATACAAACAAGTCAATACTAAGAGTAGGAAGTAATTTGGATACACACAAAATCCTGATACAGACAGAATATACTTCACAAGATCCAGGAAAATGTCTCAACTCTTTATTTATTGTAAAACTCTTTTTAATGATTAAAACTACTCAAATTCAATGGTTAGACACGACATGCTTTAATATTGTGCTTAAATTTTTGCCACAATGATATTTATCTTTGTATTCTCAATAATGTCTAGCAGTGTGCTCTGCACATAGTAGGGACTTAGAAAATATTTGTTAAATGAATGAATGAATGATGAATATTTGTTGCCCTAGGATTTGACCTGCATTTCAAAATAAATCTCTTTTTGGGGCCATTTTTCTCTATTTCTCTCTGTTGTTACTTATTTCAGCCTCATTTTCCTTCATTCATACCACAAAGACTCCAGCAGAGCTTCTGAAAATGAGCATAAAATGTTTGTTGTATGTGTCCAAATGTGAACACTCCTGCACATCCACATGGTCTGTGTATTGAGTGGTACTTTCTTGGTCTTTGTAAAGAGAACATCTGATGATATAGGGATAATACACAGTATACTGCCCACTATACACTTAACGCTGATGATAGAACACAGATAAAGGGACTGAGTGAGGTGGAAAAATAGCAGGTGACAATGGTATTATAAATTGGATGGACTCCAGTTTCACTTGCTTTCATGATTTCTGTTTATATTCTTGAGGCTACACGTAGAAAGAGGAGAGGAGGTAGAAAGCTGAGATCTCCCTAAGAGGAAGGAGTGCTTAACTTTTATTACAGGTTAGGAACAGTGGGATTTCTCAGGTTTCTCTTGTGATTGATGAGATGTTTCAGAATTGGCAAGAAGAGAGTTAGGAAAATGTACAACAAATGAAAATTTGTGAGGATGAGATATAATTCAGAAGAAACTCAGAGAGAAACCTTGAAAGGAACCCTGTTTTCTCTTTATTAGCCAGCTTCATTTTTCTGTCTGTCTGGGCTACACAGAGATACCATCCAGAAAATGTCACCAGGTCCCATGGGTTTTGCTTAATCTGCATCTCATGGATTTCAGCTGACTATGTAGTCATGGTTCTGTTAGGACATCTGACACACATTGTTTAATACCTTTTGGCTAAAGCTAACCTAGTATGAGGAGGCACCCATGCATTTACATACATATATATGATTTCATTTGTTTTTGAAGGGAGAGAAGATAATGAACAACCTATAACTGGTTATATTTTAAATAACATCGTTTACTACTTTTATTCTTGGATTTGACCAATTGTTTCCTAAATAGTTGGTTTCTTGACTTAATTTTCTCCCCAAACCAATTTTTATATACATATAAAATTATATACATATAAAATTATATACATATAAAATACATCCAAATTCAATAGTAAATACTATTTAATACTATATGTACTATAAAATACTATTGTCATTTCATAGTTATTGACCACATAGACCGTGCTTTTCTGATCAGCATCTGGAGATGACAGATAATACTTCTGTAAGTCCATCAGGTCAGCAAAGGGTCTCTTAGTTTTTCACCTAAATTATAAGAGTGTCAAGAATTAGGATTTGAGTTGTAATAGACTCTGCTCTTCTGCTCACAAATTTACTGTATACATCTGAAGGGATCTCTGGTAAACATCAAGTCAGATGTGAATTTTGACATAGTCTGAGTCCTAGATAGCCTATCAGAAATAGGGGTTTGGAGAATGATGTTTTGAACAGGTGGTTGGCTCTACTGAGAAGATTGAGATTGAATACATATAACTTCTATGTTAAAAGAGTCAAGTGTCGGTGAGAAAATAAAAAGCAAAGCAACTCTCAAATTTATGGAAATGCAGAAAAGGAGAAAGAGCAGACAAACTGATGCCATAAATATAAGTAAAAGAGCAAAATGAATTATTTGACATGGATTATTCCTAGCATTTAGAAAAAATTGTAATATGAGAAAATTAGAAAAGTGTTGATTTTAGTAAATCATCAGGAAATGCATTTGGTAAGGAAATACATTGTGTGAAATTCATGATACCTTTTCCATTGGACACAATTTCACCTCATCTAAAAGAAATCCTTCTGAATGATGACCAAAGGAAGCTTCAATGATATCATTAGCTTAGGGTTGCAGACTAGGACTCGAGACACATTAAGGTACCTTATAGTTCCTGGCTCAGCCAATTGCAATTGTGTAAGTCTCAGTTCCTGATTAAGATGTCTCTAAGATTATATTTCTTATTGACTTTACCAAAACTTCCTGATTAGGATAGATTTTCAGAAGATATTAAATGAGGAAACTTGAGTTTGTAATCTAGTTGTGATGTATATCTCTGGGTGTGATTGTCCTCTGAGACGTGGCACAGTAGGGATGTTTTCCATAGGGAAAGCTTTTGGTAGCATTTATAAAAATGGGAAAACATATGATACACCACTGTGCGGGATGATAGACTGAACTCTACATAGGTTGACAGCATACCAGAGCATGGTGGGACAGTCTAATCTGTGTGGGCCTTTGTGCCTACATTTCTACTTTATCCCCCTCTAATAGATTAGGGATGTATTTCTGAGTGTTATTTGTCTACATTTTTATTTGCCACCCTCCTCAATACCAATTTCTCTTTTTCTAATCATTCTTTTGAGGCAAACCAATTGCTTGAATTAAAGGGTTACGAATCTCAAAATATTACTAGGAAAATATACCTTAATGACAAAACCTAGCTTCTGAGAAGCATGATAAAATGAATTTACACCTCTTTACACTTCAGTCTCAGGACTGTCATCCTCAGTTAAGCATTAAAAATATTAAAATTAATCAAACGGCAAATCTGAAGAATGGGTTAAGTTTAATAATAGGGAAATAGGATCCCAGTCCACCTCTGTAAGTACAACTGTGGAAGCCTGCCCTTGCTCCTTATAGCCTCCAGATGGTGCTGTTTACCTAGACATGGAACGCAGGAGCCTGGCCTTACTTCCTTTGCTTAGATTTGTAGTTGGACTTTCATTTTTTTTCCCAAAGTATTTTCTGTTTGTGCAGATGTATTCTTTTAAATGGTCAATAAAATTTTATGACCACTATTTGAAAAATTGCAAGATTATTGTGATTTGTGCTTCCTAGCCAAGAATATTTCTTTATGTCTGTACATACCCAGAGTTGGGCGTTTACATTTATTCATTGGTCCCACTCTTCTAGGCTTCCTTGCTTCTTAGCACCCAGCCTCAGCCACAGACATTTGGGCTGTGGATAGAACTCATCCAAGTTTCTTTAAACACTTATGTGATTTAAAAATATATTTCTAGTTCAGCTATGGCAACTGAACTCTGTAGGCTTCTGAGTAAAGAATGCTATCTTTACAGGAATGCTTTTATACCCTGAAGCCAGTGAGTGTTCCTAGCAGACCTGACCTGATTTTGGGGCAAGGATATGCTTGTCAGACACCATAAATGTTTTGATGTTTTAAGGTCACCTCAACAGTAACACCCCGCAATCCAATCCAAATTCCTCAGAAAAATGTTCCTAGGGAAAACCTGAGAGGGAGGGCATTGTCAGTTTCTTTCCTATTTTGATAGATTTTAGGGCCAAGAATAGCGGAAATTCCATCACAGCAAAGATGGAATTAGGATGGGAATGCAGTAGTATCAAACATCATGGGTGAAGTTTGGAATTTTTAGGATTGGCTTCTAAAAAAATACCAACTAACATGCCTTTCTTGTCCTTTTTCCCCTTTTCTTTCCTTTCACAAGGGATTTGTAAACAAGCTAGATGAATTCATTCAATGGTTAAATGAAGCCATGGAAACTACTGAGAATTGGACTCCTCCTAAAGCAGAGATGGATGGCCTTAAACTGTACCTGGAGACACACTTGGTAGGCAAGATTGTATTGCTTTTGCTGTCAGTAATCAAAGGATTTTAATGTGCTGCTTATTTGTTTATGAAGAATATTAATTTATCAATCATTATGATATGCTAATGAAACCAAGTTTTAATGGGGTAACCTACAGAAGGTGAAAATTTACAGGAATTTCAAATAATACTATGAAATCTAAATCCTCCATATTTTAAGCTACTTTTTCAAGGCTTTTTTTTGAAGAATAAGTTTTTGTTGTTGTTATTGTTTTTTGAGACAGTCCCTCTCTCTGTCACTCTGGCTAAACTCCTGGGCTCAAGCAATCCTCCTGCCTCAGCTTTCCGAGTAGCTGGGACTACAGGCATGGGCAACCACTCCAGGCTAATATTTTGTGTTTTTGGTAGAGACAGGGTCTTGCTCTTGGTCAGGCTAGTCTCAAATCCTGAGCTCAAGCGATCCTCCCAACTTGATCTCCCAAAGTGCATACAGGTGTGAGCCTCTGTGCCTAGCCAGGATTCGTAATTATTTAAAAAATACCTTAGAAAATTTTGCTAGACCCTTGCTCCCAAAAGTGATGATTGAAGGTTTTCTTCTTCTCAAATAAATAAATAAATGAGAGAATTTCGATGACCATTCTAAGCTTTCTAGAATTCTTGTAAAATTAATGAACCTCTCATTATCAAGAGGGTCTACTTTATCTATTCTACACTGAGTTATTTTAATAAAATATTTAAAATGATGATCTCCATCATTTTTGCTGCTATGTGGGTTTTTCAGCATATAATTAATACAACTGTCATTACACTCGTCCCTGCGCATAGGGAAAACCATGGAGGAGAAGTGGAAAACACTTGGATGAATATGCTTCTGAATATGTTAAAAGCAAGAATTATAGACTGGGGGACATTTGATGAACCTCATGAGGTTTTTACTGAATGCTTCAAATAGCCGATATCAATTATGAAGGGGTGGAAACCAAGTAGTGGAGTGTGATAAAGCATGAAGAAAAAGCACGTTGTCATAGGAAATGAAAATTCAAGCTTTAAGGATCTCATCTTTATTCCTTTCACTGATAGCATAAAATTGACAAAGGCAATGAACACGAATCCTTGGGTACCCAACTGTGGGGTTGATTTTCGGCCCCTTTTACACACTCAGAATTTGGATTGAGTAAACATTGTGTGGGAATCCTACACATATGTGAGTTCACAGGATTCCAGCAATGTTACTTGTTGTTCTCTGTGATGTTAAGTAAGAGAGAGAGAGAGAGAGAGAGAGAGAGAGAGAGAGAGAGAGAGAGAGAGAGAGAGGAGAGAGAGAAGGGAGAGGCAGGGATAGGGAGAAAAGAGAGGAGAGATGTTTCAATGTTTTGGTGTTTGTGTTTTCTAGCATGTTTTATATGATTGTAAGAAAAACAACCCCCAAATGCTATTGCTGTATGCAAACAGCCTTGAGGATGATAAAGAATGACAAAACTGTGTGGTAGAGGATGAGTGTATTTCTTCCCTTTTTGGAGACCTGGGTTGGTGGTGTGTAAAAATGCCAATGATCCTAACAACCTCTCTTGTACATGGGTTTTTAAATACTGCCCTTAGTAATCAATTCCCTGTTGAGTGGAGTTTCAATTTTTTTAAAAGAGGGCATTTCATAATAGCACGATAAAGATATTCAGTGCTTTATAATGTAAATTGTATTAATTAGAATGTCAACTTTTCACTGGCATTGTTCTGACAGAAATTCTAATCTGTGTTTAAACAGGAGTGTATGAACTTTATTTCACATCAAGTGTGCTGTCTTAATTTCTCTTGATTTAATATTTTATGGAAAACACACATTTGGTTTTTGAGGTTCCAGAGGGCATGGGGGCATAAAGAGCGCTTTAACTCCAGATTATTTGTTGAAAGCTAGGCTAGGAGAATATGAACCAAGATCTTTTTCTCTTTGGAAGTTGAATGGTATGGCTCCTTTCTAACCAATGAACACTCTGTTCTCAAATACAATATTACAGAGTTTCTTACTTGGCATCTTAATGTTTTCCTCTACCTCATTCTAGCCTAATGCTGTTCGTTAGAACTTTTTGTGATGGTGGCATGTCCTGTATTGTACTGTCCTATTCAGGGCACTAACCTCATGTATCTACTATGCACTTGAAATGTGGCTGATGTGACTGAGGAAATACATTTTTAATTTTAATGAAATTATACTTAAATTTAAATTGCCACATGTTGCTAGTGACTACTGTAGTCTATCTAGCTTTATAAATTGCAAAGCTCTTTGTAGATAACCATAATGAATTGCAGTATCCATACCTGCCTCATAATAACATTCTCATCCAAAATGTAGAAATCATTATCTACTTTGCTGTGGATTGTCAGTGTAGACATCCATAGCAAAGGGTCCTTCCTAAGAAATTTATCTCTTAAAGAATAGCCTTGTTTGTGCTGAATGATCAACATTTTCTTGGATGAGTTTTCCCCATAACCATGTCTGATTATATTAATTAGAATAGGGATAACATAGGAATGTCTTCTTTATTTCTGCTTTGCAAAAAGTGAGGTACTATTATCTCCAGATCTGTTGACTGGACATTAAGTTACAATCTCAAGTTTTACTACTGAAATGATGAATAGTAATGTCTTACAGTTTCTGAAGACCTATTGTGTATGGATTGCCACTGAGTGATACTTAAGGATAATCGAGAGTCACTGTTTCACTGCATACTGTCTACTACTTTAGATACAGCCAGCAGCTCATACATCTTTCAAACAAATTTAAAGTTTCTCTGTCTCTATAAGTGTCTATATTGTCTTCCTAATCAATATCGTCATTTATATTTCTTATCGTATTTCTTTACTGTCATGCTGAGCCAATATTAAGTTATTTTCCCAAAAGAAGGCAAAAAAATGCACCTACCTATAAAAGAAAATATATGAGCAAGATTTGAGATTTATATTCCTTAGTTGACCCTTTATAAATCATTCCTGCTCCTTAATGAGGGAGCAAGTGGTATTTACAAGATTATCCAGTAGTAGAGATAGCTACATAAGTTCCTTTAAAGATGTCTCTAGATTCCATAATTTAACACTCATTCAACAAATGTGCAAACCCCTAGGGTCAGTCTCCCCTGGTTTAATAATGTGTTAGACTAGCTGGCACTCTCCAATATCTATTATAGAGAAAAACAAATGTAAAAACAATTCCAAAAGTTGTACATTCATATTTTGATACTTAATTCAATTATTTTCCATGATGGTAACCAAGGGTTTTTACCAACACAAATCAATTAAATATCATAAATACCTTTATGAGAAATATGAAGGAGCCTTATTTTCACTGTAAGAAATACTGTGAAATTGTGATGATACATTAATGATTTTCCATGATAATTAATCATCTGCTTGCAACCTAGCTGCTCCTTTCAAAAATACAATTCCTATCTTCCTAGAAAATGACATTTTCAGGAAAATGTCATTCTAGAAAGGTATTTTGCAAATATTGAATGTATTGAACAATTCCCCCTTCTTTGAAAACCACTTTTAAAATAGTACTGTATAGATATGTTCTTGGACAGACTCCCTTCTCTCTCTCCCTCTCCTCACCTTTGTCACCTTCCTACCATTTTTATTTAAAAAACAGCTTTATTGAGGTATAATTGACATATAACAAATTGCATACTTTAAAGTACAATAGTCCTCACTTATCCTTGGAGGATATGTTCCAGTACCTTCAGCAGATACCTAAAACCACAGATAGTACTGAACCCTATATATACTATGCTATGTTTTTTCAATCTAATAACCAAGGTATCTACTAAGTGACTAACAGGTGGGTAGCGTATACATGGTACATATGCTGGACAGAGGGAGGATTCACCTCCCAGGTAGGACTGTTATGACATGAGATTTTGTCAAGCTACTCAGAATGGCATGCAATTTAAAACTTATGAATTGTTTATTTCTGGAATTTTCCATATAATATTTTTGGACTGTGGTTGACCACAGGTAATTGAAACTGCAGAAATTGAAACCATGGATAAGGGGGATTATACAATTTTATAAGTTTTGACAACCTGACACACACACAACACACACACACACACACACACACACACACACACACACACACACACACACATATATATATATCTCCATGAAACCATCACCACAAGCAAGACAGTGAACATATTCATCACCCCCAAAAGTTTCTTCAGGACACTGTAATTCTTCTGTCCTGCCCCTCCCTAACCTTTCCTCCATCCCTAAGCAATCACTGATCTGCTTTATGTCACTATTAGATTAGTTTGCACTTTCTAGAATTTTATATAAATGGAATCAAACAATATGTACTTTTTCGGTCTGGTTTCTTTTACTCAGCATACTTATTTTGAATATGTTGTTGCATGTGTCAGCTGTTTACTCCTTTTTATTGCTGGATAGTATTCCATTGTATGAATATACTACAATTCGTTTATCTTTTCACCTATTGATGGACATTTAAGCCATTTCCCCACCACCTTTTTTATTGGCTAAAGAAGCAGAAGTCACCAAAAACTACATTTGAGTAGAAGCGTAATAAATAGAAGCATAGGAAGTAACTATCAAAAATAGTTCTTAGCTAACTATTTAGATTTTTGTTTGTTTGTTTGTTTTTCCTTTAGGAGAACTTACGTTATCTTCAGAGTTAGAATGCTTAAGAGTAAAGCAGCAGAGCAGGCCAGCAATTTCCCCCATAGAGATTTTATTTCATATCCATTTGCTCCTGAAATGATAACTTTGCTCTCCTGAGTCATTTTTATGCATGCCTAACTCATCAATGCAGTCATTCACAGAAAAACAAACCGCAGTTCTTTTATCTATAGCCAATCAGAGTATCCAGTAGGAGAAAGTGAAGTCAAACCAACACCAGACAGCTGTGCAAGATTTAGGAAAAAGAGCCAACCACAAGGGCCTGGCTTAAACTTGGGAAGTATATTTGCATAGGCAGAGCCATATTATATTGGACAAACATTAACCAACCAC